GGGCGGGGCGCGAGGCTGGAATGGCCTGGGGACCCGTCCACACAGTCCACCGCGAGGCAGGGTCAGGCGCCAGGGAGTTTGGAGACCCGACAGAGCCAGCCCCACACCGTCCGGTTGCCTTGGGTCGGGATTGCTTTGCGTTGCACTCTACAGTAGCGCTCCCCGCTCTTGCTTACGGTGCACCAGACGCTTCGCAAACGTTCTCTCTTTTCTTTACAACCCCGCAAGGCAGTAGTCTCCCAGTTTTACAAATAAGCTAAACTAAGACAGGAAGAGTGTTTCTTGTACAAGATCTCAAATATTGCCAAGAGGTGGACGTGAGACTGGAACCGCTTCCTACTCTTTGGGCCACAGCGGCGGCCTGCCGAGGACTTTCTAACGCAACCGGCGCTGCCCAAGCGTCTGCACGCACGCCCCCTCCCTATCCCACCCTGCCCCATTCTGGATTTGTACATCAAGCAGCTAAAACGTTTAAGTAGTTGGAAAAAAATGTATTTTCCAGCAATTGTAAATAGTGACGCAAGTAAAATATATCCAATTGAATCTAAACACTACAGTGATATGGTACCCTCCATCGTCCATCACACACATGCAAAAGCCCACAAAAAAGCTATTTTAAAAATCATAAGTTTACATCACTACTTTTCCTTCTTAAAATCATCTCTCCGCCATCCCCTCCCCGTCCCTGCCACAAAAAATTTCCTCTTCTTATAAGCACTATAGTCAAATTGGATTAGGACTGAACCAAAGGCCTCATTTTGATCTCATTGCATCTTTAAAGTCTCTATCTCCGAATACAGTCTCATTGTGAGTTACTGGTGTTAGATTTCAATATGTGAATTGGGAGTGGCCGGGGCAGGGGCGAATGCAGCCCATAACAGGAGTCCAAAAGTTGTTTAGGAGTTGGAACAGCCAATGTTAGTTTCTTTGGCAGTGAAATTCCCTCAAAATATTAGCAAGTATATGATCTACTTGTTTTTGTTTAATTTCATGTGTCAGTGACCACACCCACATTTCTTCCCTAGAATTCTTAGACATGCTTTATTAAATCATATCTTCATTCTACTTTCCTCATAGAATTTTATCCCAGCTATCTTTTTCATGCTTGAAAGTCTTATTGATCATCCTGTCATACTGCTGAAAGAATTGTATAGAAATGGAAATTTACATTTCCTGCTCACAGAATTTTTTTTCTGGATTGTTAAAATTACTAGTACTACACAATTGATCACAATAAAATATATCACAATGCTGATAATTATATTAAATATAACAAAATAAAATTGTATTGAAAATTCATCTCCTTAAAAAAAAATAAAAAAATAAAAAAATTTAAAAAAAAAAGAAAATTCATCTCCTTAAGACCTGGATGGGCTCCCCATGCGTCATCAGTTCCTGTATCCATAGAGGAATGCTAACTTCTTGCTACAATGAAGTTTAACACTGAGTCTCTTCCATTTTTTTTTAAGGCTGTAAGTGCTGAGAAATAAGTACATTAGAATGAAAAGTTTTGTTAAAAGTGTCCCTCAATTTTTGTCTAGTTGTATCTCAAGAATCATATAGTAATCTATCATCAAAAATGGTTTATAATCATGAACTGGTAATTCCATTACTCTTCTGAAATTTTATTAAAAGCAAAACCCCATAAGCCATTCTGATTTTAAAAAGGATTATCCAATACTTATCCAGTCTCTCAGTAACTGTACATAATTTCAAGTTTTTTTGTTTGATGGTTTGGAAATGTTTATACCCTGGGGCAATGCTAAGATTGAAGATGACTAAGAAGTATGGAATACAGTATATATGGAAGCTCAGTATCTGGAAATATCCTTAGAATGATCCATGCCTGCTTTAACTTGAAAAATGTTCAAGAGGGTGGTAAGCTAATTCCAAAGAGCTAACCTAAATAATTTTGGGAAATGGTATTTGACTGGAAACCATGAGACAATAGGAAAGATACATAAACTCTGTACCTTAGTTGGTAAATTTGTATCTCCCAGGAGTATGGGTTAATGATTTGGAAACTGCTTTACAAGTAGACTAGAATCGAACAGCTAAGCAGGTGGTGGATGGTGCAAGCCAGTTTTCTCATTGTCAGGGAGAGAAGTTATAGAAAAGCATGAGAAGAAGGCTAGAATGAACCTTGTAGTATTGGGTTAGTTGGAGACATCAGTATGGACCCATGCTTAATTTAATGTATGTACAGATGGAGAGATACAGAAATAACTGTAGAGATGTGTGGATGGTTATACAATTATACAGTGTACACAGGTTAGTATACACACATATACTTCCTAGCTCTGCTGAGAGGGCCTAAAAGCAGTGACACCCCAGGAACAACAAGCACACCCAGCAACCAGATCTTGGTTTCTAAACCAGTGGGAACCTCGTTGAAATAGATGATTTTGGGGCTGGGGCAGAGAAGGTAAAGATGAGTCTGGACCATCTTGTAGTGCCACAAAGGAAGGAAGTGCTCCAAAAGAATAGGGGCACATCAAAGGGACACAGGAGGTGACCTGAAACAATTCCCAACAGCCAAAGCTAGAACGATTTAAGCAAGAAAACAAATAACTTATTATTAGCTGGAGTGTATGACTTGCTTATAGTGAACATAGCATGAACATGGAACATTACAAAGTTGATAGTGGAGAGCCTGGCAGACACTGCCTTCATCAAGTGATCAAGGTGAACGACACTGGGAAGAAGTCATGCTGATGCTGTGTACTCCCTGAAATGATGTGATGAGAAGGGCACTTCACCTTTGTGGTTTTCCCCAAAATCCGTAAGCTTAGTTCAATTGTGAGACAAACCCAAACTGAGCAGTAGTCTACAAAATACCTGAGAAGTACTCAAAAACATCAAGGTCCCGAAAAACAAGGAAAGATTTAGAGACTGCCAGAGACCACCGGAGATTAAAGATATCCAAATGTAAATACAGTGTATATGTGAGGTGGGGTTCTATACCACAGGGTTTTATACATTAAGATTTAAAAACTGTTAAATATTTAAAAGTGTATATTTTCCAGATTTCAGCAAGTGCTTGTTAATGACCCTAAATGTATTTTCCCCCTTCTCTTCACTTTAGCACTGTTCCCTGTATCTGTCTGGCTCATGTCTCTGTGACAGTGTTGAGCGAACCCTGTTTCTTCAGTGAAATATTCTCATCTCACTAAAGTGCACACTATTAGATGAGGTTAACACACACGACAGGACCCAGCACATGTGTGTCATGCGTCCCCCTATTTATTCCACATCACTCTCTAGTTTCTGATATTTACCATTTCTGCTCCTCACCTCTGGCCTCTTCCTTCCTCATCTACAGGACTGCTATCTTCTGACAAGATCTGCAGACCACCCCATGCTTCCCAGGGCTGACCCTCCAACCCAGGCTCTTTTGTGCATCCTATGAGGGACTGTATTTAAGGACAGCTGGTGAAGACCATTGGAATGATCTTCAAACTACTCAGAATCAGGTCATATTGAAAAACTGCACACATTACCATATCAAAATTAAATATATTTAATTCTCAAGCCTTTAGGAAGTGTAAAAAGAGTCACATAATAATAAACACAAATCATAATGTGAATAACATATGGGCTGCTGTAATGGTCTATAGTCAGCATCCCTCTGAGGTAGGCAATATTATCTTCATTTTATGGTTAAGGAAATTGGGGCTCGAAGAGATTAAGTAATTTCCCACAATCACACAAGTAGGTAGTGGCAGGCTATCATCCCATTTCTGTTCTATGGGACTGCAAAGCCCAATGCTCACACTCATTCCACTACACCTTCTCTCTCGAATTCAAAAACTTACAGGAGTTCTAGACTTTTCAAACTCATGATACTAATCAAGAACAATTTTAAGTATTAAGAATTTCCTCCGCTTCATTCTGTTTCCAAAGGAAAATATACATCGCATGAACTCATGATCATCTCAACATGAACTCCTGAGTGAAGCCTCTCCTCAGTGTGACTCAGGAACACTCCCTCAGGCATTATCCATCGCACAGGCCTTGCCATCCAGCTCGCTTCTTCAGCTCTGACACCCAGTCGGGGTTGTCATCTTCCTCCTCAAAGTCCCTGTGAAAAAACAATTTGGACCATAAACCTCTACATTAGGGGCACAGTATCTGTTGGTGAGTTCAAAGCAAAACACCACCATAACAATACTTAAGCTTTTGAAAAATGAGTTCCATAAGGCAACTGAAGGGAAAAAATTGTCAGTTCTTCCAAAAGATCACTTCTTTGACTGTTTCTAACACTTTTAAAAATGTAAAACCTAATATATTAAAAAATAACAAGTTCAAGCTGAAAGGCTATAGGTGTAGGGCTCAATCAGGAATTTTATAATCATATTGTAAGGTATTACCCATCCCAGACAAAAGATCAGGATATAAATACCCATTTATGATGGCCGGGCATGGTTGCTCACACCTGTAATCCCAGCACTTTGGGAGGCCAAGGTCGGGGGAGATTGAGACTCTAACACGGTGAAACCCTGTCTCTAGTAAAAATACAAAAAATTAGCCGGGCGTGGTGGCAGGCGCCTGTAGTCCCGGCTACTCGGGAGGTTGAGGCAGGAGAATGGCGTGAACCCAGGAGGTGGAGCTTGCAGTGAGCTGAGATCCCACCACTGCACTCCGGCCTGGGAGACAGAGCGAGACGCTGTCTAAAAAAAAAGAAAATTTCCATTTATGATGAAAAGTAATCTAAGAGGTCCCTACCAAACCTGAAATTATCATGGTCTAATTTAAATCACACACAAACACACATACACTCCACCCCCAGCTAAAGCTTTCTACGCATATCACAACGTACGTGTCCTCCTCATCTAGCCCAGGCTCAAGTCGCTCTGGATCCAAAATGACAGAATCGTGACCTCCGTCGACACTGTCCGATGCTTCTGTTTCTTCAGACAGGGGGCCTTTCAAGAACCCTTCTGAACCTTCAGGAGATATTAACAGAAAATATACCAATTAAACAGTATTTACTTATTTCATGCAGTTTGACTAAAATCTTCCATAAGCTTGCTGGCTGAGGACAATGTCATGTTCCATTACTCTTGTGTAGTGTCTCCCCACATTACCCAACCCCAACATGATTGTGGGCATAAAACAGGCCCCGGAAGCAGAAGCACTAGGACGTGGACTAAATTTATAAACGGAACTTTCTTTATTCTTTTTTTTGAGTCAGGGTCTCACTCTGTCACCCAGGCTACAGTGCAGTGACATGATCATGGCTCAATGCAGCCTCGAACTCCCAGGCTCAAGAGCTCCTCCTACCTCAGACTCCCAAGTTGCTGGGACTACAGGCGTCCAGAACCATGCCTGGCTAATTTTTTTAGTAGAGGCAAGGTCTCGCTATGTTGCCCAGGCTTGTCTTGAACTCCTGAGCTCAAGCACTCCTCCTGCTTCAGCCTCCCAGAGTGCTGGGTTACAAGCATGAGCCACCACACCCAGCCTATAAACAGGATTTTCTTTAAGGAAAAAAAAACTCAGAAAATTACCATAAAACCCTCCCAATATAAGAATGTATATTAAGGCATTAAAAGTTACCTTTGAAAGTTGGGTTATAGTAGTTTATTTTTTCCTTTGAACTTTCTCCTCCCAAGTTTTCACAATGAGGAGGAAGAAAAGTTGGAAACTGAAGGAAGACCATATGCATGCTTAAAAATTTTTTCCAGGTGTAATTACTTTTAGATTTCTCACAAACAGCATGAAAATCTACCCTAAAAACATGGGCCGAATCTTCTAAAAGGCATTTCAAAATAGAACTATGACATAGTTTTTAAACAGGGACTTTCCTAAAATGACAAAGACTTCATCACTGGACCAGACAGAAAATCCTGGACCTAAAATTGCAAAATTGAAATTCATAACCATTAACCTTCCTTAACATTTTCCTCCCATGCATTAGCATCTCCTTAGGGCTTCCATGACCTTTTGTGCACAGTTCTATCTGAATGCATATATCACAGGGCACTATAATTCCTTATCAGTGTGCTGACCTCCCATGTAATGAACTCCTTCATCCTTAGGGCAGGAACTGTGTTTTATTCTTTTTTTCATCTTAACCTATGTTAGGCATTCAATAAATACTGATCAAATAAACAAATACAACCAAATCGTTGCAATAAATATAGTCAGACTTGCCATACCATTACCTGCTCTACTTGGTATAATTTATCTTAGATCTTAACCTAGCAAGGTGGCTTAGTAATTAAATTATCATAATTATAATACACATACACACATACATATCTAATACAGACCACTGGCCTAGATTTCTAAGGATGGTATTATAAAAAATTATTTTACACAATGTTAGTAAAGATGTCTGTAAAAAAATTTAAAAATCAAATCCTAATTGTTCATCCTTTTTGAGCTCTATTCAATGTAACAGAGTTCAGGTATACAGCAAAAGAAATCTTGGAGTTGTTGCTAAAGCAATGGCATATTTGCATGATAAAAATGGGCTCCTCTTCAAAGAAAGTAGTAGCAGGATTATGAAAATAAGCAAACAAATGAGCAAACAGAAGTAATGTAGCTCCATGAAAAATTTTAATTGTAGCTTAAGACTGGCTAGAAAAGATTAAAAAACACCTAAAAATACAATGCTATGAATTATTTTACAACTTTGAAATCAAAGTGTTTCTGGGAGAAGGGAAACCCTTTGAATTGAGTTTTGGAAGATGAGAACATTTCTGTGGATGGATACTGGTGATGGCTGCACAACAATGTGGCATACTTAGTACCACTGAACTGTACACTTCAAAAGGGTTCAAATGTAAATTTTATGTTATATGTATTTACCACAATTTTCAAAAAGTCAAAGGGTTTCCAAGGTCACATACAGACATGAATTACCTGGTCTATATATCGTGTATGTTTGAAAGGCCAAGTTGAGATCAGCATTCTTAAGGAAGTTCAACAAAGTGTCAGGGGTCTCTTTGAGCCACTGCTTACGAGCAGTGTTTTTGCTGTATTTTATTACAGAACCACCTAGTTGGGAAAAGACAAAAATTAGTGCCGAATAAAAAAAAGATTTTTCAGCATGTACTTTCCAGATCATATTTTCAAGCAAAGTTAATTATATTTGACTGTTAACTAAAATCTACTTCATTCACCTGTATGAGTAATGCTCTGATGTGTGACGCCAAATACCCTTCACAGACATTAAAAGCCTCTAGTGCACTAAGTATTAGAAAAAGTTCTCTAGTAAAATAATAGTATTCAATCTGACTACTAACCTCTATCATCCTCTGCTGTTAAACTGGAGGTGAGTATGGATGCCTTTTCCAAAGCCGTAAGAGCTGTATTGGGTACATTTTTCTCCCACTGTCGTCTGTGAAGATTTGGTGAACTGGCTTTCCTCAGATGGACTGACTCACTACCTGATTTTAAAACGTAAAAAAGGAATGCCAAGCATGTTATTTTATGTATCCATCTCTGTCCACACACAGACTATCTAACAACAATATGGAAGTGTTTCTTTTCTCTTTCAAACTCAGATCTATGTTTGAAAGATCAATGTTCTTTCAAATCTTAGTAGCAAAGGAAATTAAAAAAAAAATCCAAAATGAAAAGTTACAAATGAATCATTACAGTGACTGAGTTAAAAAAAAAAAATATGTAGGCCGGGTGTGGTGGCTCACACTGGTAATGCCAGCACTCTGGGAGGCCAAGGCAGGTGGATCATGAGGTCAGGAGATCGAGACCATCCTGGCTAACACGGTGAAACCCTGTCTCTACTGAAAACATACACACAAAAAATTAGCTACTTGGGAGGCTGAGGCAGGAGAATGGCGTGAACCCGGGAGGCAGAGCTTGCAGGGAGCGGAGATTGGGCCACTGTACTCCAGTCTGGGCAACAGAGCGAGACTCCATCTCAAAAAAAATAAAAAAATAAAAAAATAAAATGATATGTATATACTTACATGTTATACATTGTGCAAGAATGAAGCCCTGGGAGGACTTACATACACACAGTATGCTATGCTTTTTAAGGTGGATAGCACAATAAATACCACTCTTTCTAATGGCTCTTACTGATAAATGCTATTCTCTCTTTTGTTGTAGGTAAATAAAATATTTCTAAAACATTAAATAAGTTACTAGATAAGCAAACAAATATCAGCTTGTACTCTTGTTTACGATACCCGAGACCTAGTAACATAAAAATTGGTATTCCCTCTGTACTCCCCAACTCCTCGTCTAAGAAATGATTAGAATTTGAATAACTCACCTTTTTCTTCTCTGTTTACTCTTCTCGATGCACTTTCATTTTCATTAATGCTTTCCAAATCAGTATGGCTACCCTTTCTATCTTGTTCTCCCTCTTGCTTTAAAATAGATTAACAATACAGATTAAATAATGCTTGAATTGCTACGAAAAAGGTAAACAAATATGCAAAGTCAGCCATTTTAATTTCAAATAAAAATTAATGGATTAAAAAATATGCATAATCATAGAACCCCAAAGACATGTATGTTAATAGCCATCTATATCTATACGTATTTAATAACATATATGTATATTAACAACCATAAACCTACATACATGTATATATTAATAGACGTATGCATTAATAGCCATTAATATCAATTATTATAAATATGAAGAGGATATATTAAAATGACAGATATTTGAAAGGTCTTTACTAAGGAAAAGAGTAATGAAAAATTTCAATATGGTTTGCTGTACTGGGCTTTACAAACTGTAATATCAAAATGAGACATTTTATAAAGTTGCCATATAGAATCAAAATGTTCCCACTTAATTCAGTATCTTTCCAAATTATCTAAGCCCTTGATTTATTTCACGAAATATAGTAATACACTATCTAGTTTACTAAATCTGCATATATTTTGAGAAGGAGTACATATTGAATGCCTAAACAGTCCCAGGCAAAGAAGTTCTCAATTCTTTATTGAATGAATAAATAAACAGTAGGCTTGGGTGGCATGGTGGGTTTTCTTATTTCTAAGCAGTGGTTCTGAAACTTCTCTTCCCACACATGTAGGGAACATAAAAATCTGTCACTTAACAGTGGTGGCTCACTTACAGCAGCGATTTCAAAGCCTCCTACACTCAAGAATGACATCAGAATCTTGGAGGAGTAGCGGTGAGAGGCAGCTGTGAAAAGCCCCCCAGGGGATTCCAGTCTTTCCTTCCCATTGAGGATCACTGCTTTCTGTGTCTGCAGTGGCCTCCCACGTTCCTCTGGGTGCTATTCAACTCTGCCTTCATTGCCATTGTCCTTTGCTGGCCTGCACACAAGTTTTCCTACCTCAAGTCCCTCATTCCCTGACTGACTTTTTGGCCTTTTCTCCATTTTGTTCACGTGTTGCACCCTTTTCATTTTGCGAACACATATTGCTGTGTCCACTACAGGTGGTATCAAACTATAGCGTATGGGCACAGATCATCTGCAAAGGGCACAAGGAAACATTTTAGGGGATGGAAATTCTTTTCTTTTTGAGACAGAGTCTTGCTGAGTTGCCCAGGCTGGAGTGCAGAAGTGTGATCATAGTTCACTGCACCTCAACTTCCCAGGCTCAGGCAATCCTCCTGCCTCAGCTTCCCAGTAGCTGGGACTACAGGCATGTGTCACCATGCCCACCTAAAATTTTTAATTTTTTGTAGAGATGGGGTTTCACTGTGTTGCCCAGGTTGGACTCAAACTCCTGGCCTCAATCAATGCTCCTGCCTCCGCCTCCCAGGGTGTTGGTATTACAGGCGTAAGCCACTCTGCCCTGCCTGGAAGTTCTATAAGATGACTGTGGCAGGGGTTATATGGATGTTTAAATACCATCACCAAAATTTATCAAATTGTGCACAAAAATGGGTAAATTTTGTGGCATGTAAATTATATCTCAAAAAGTTGGGAAAAAAAAAACAGACATTACAATGAAAAGAAAAAAAAGTATAGAGGTCTGTATTCCATTTGTAGCAACATAATGATGGGATATAGTTATTTATTTAGAACTTATGGTTCATTCAAAAAATTTACAAGTTTAATTACTAGTGCATTGCATGAAGAGAGCAATTTGTTGTCAGTACAACATCTTTTCCTTTTTGAATTGGAAGGTTAGGCCAGGCGAAGTGGCTCACACCTGTAAATTCCAGCACTTTGGGAGGCCAAGGTGAGAGGATCACTTAAGCCCAAGAGTTCAACACCAGCCTGGGCAACACAGTGAGACCTCATTCCTATAAAAAAATTAAAAAATTATCCAGGCATGGTGGCATGCACCTGTAGTTCCAGCTACTCAAGAGGCTGAGGTGGGAGGATCCCTTGAGCCCAAGAGGTCAGTTTGCAGTGAGTGGTGTTGATGCCACTGCCCTCCAGCCTGCGCAACAGAGAGAGAGAGAGAGAGAGAGAGAGAGAGAGAGAGAGAAGGAGAGAAGGAGAAAAAGAAAGGTTAACTGAAATACTGAAGAAAAAAATCAATAGTATACGATTTGCGAAGGGGGGTGTGACAACACTGAAACATGGATCTGTTGTTAATATCCACAGCTTTAGAGAAGCTTCAGTGTAAAAGAATGTCACAGTTGCCCAGGGCTAGACAGGATGAACAGGACCCCGAATGCCGGCCTGAAAATTGATTCTTGGGATAACAAGGAGGCACTACAAGGCATTGAACAGAAAAATGTTAAGATCTAAATAGTAATCTAAATGTTATTCAGCACAGCAATAAAAAGGAATGAAGTTTTGACACACAGAAGAACTTAAAAACATTATGTAAGTGAAAGAAGTCAGACATAAAAGGACAAATATTGTATGATTCTCCTCATATGAAATACTTACAATAGGCAAATTCACACAAAGA